GCCGGGAGCGGAAGGCCGTGGCGCGAGGGGCGGGCGCAGCACGCAGAGCGCGGAGGAGCGGCGATAGCAGGTGGGTCGCAGGGAGTCTTGAGAAGACAGACTCAGGCTCGAGAAAAGGCGACGGCTCAGGTACCTGGGGACAGAGGCGGAACTGGCTCTCTCTGGCGGGCGGAGTGTCTGGGCGGGGGCCCTTGGCTCCCCAGCCTGGTGGGGCAGAGAAGGGAGGGGTGACCGCCTCTGTCTGAGGCCAGGTGGCTGCCTGGGCTCTACCCAGGGCTCGCAGAGCCGCTCCTGTTCCGGGTCCTGAAACAGCCCGGCCCAGCTCCTAGGAAGCGTCTGTTTCCATCTTGCTCTGGGATCGCAGACTACGTAGTGATTCCCAGCCTGCTCCCAGGGGCTGCACCTTCCTCATGCTCAGGGTCATCCCCAAACAGGCCCAGGGGAGGGACCCAGGTCCAGCTCCACCAGGTTCCCTCCCCTGCCCTGGAGGCAGCTTAGGTGCCTAGGTCTCCATGCTTCCCTGTGACCTCCCCACCTGCTGGCGAGCCCCGACATCTGTCTCATCCCAGCCCTCCAGCAGGCCAGCGGTGCATGTACTGGAGCCCCCAGGATGGGGACAGAGGGAGGAGTGAAGGCTGGTCAAGACCCAGCTGGACAAATTGTCATTCCCCTCTGGCACAGGCAGGTCTCAGCAGCTGGCTTGGTGCTCTTTTCAGCTGCCCACCATGGCCCCGGGGCTGCCCAGCACCACCAGCCTAGCTTGCTTCTGCCAGAAGCTGAACCGGCTGAAGCCACTGGAGGGGTCCTCCATGGAGACATCGCTGCAGCGCTGCCTGTCCACACTGGACCTGACCCTGCTGGGTGTGGGTGGTATGGTGGGCTCGGGCCTATATGTGCTTACAGGCACCGTGGCAAAGCAGATGGCCGGCCCTGCTGTGCTGGTGTCCTTCAGTGTGGCTGCTTTGGCTTCCCTCCTGGCTGCCCTATGCTATGCAGAGTTTGGGGCGCGTGTGCCCCGCACGGGCTCTGCCTACTTGTTCACCTACGTGTCCATGGGCGAACTGTGGGCCTTCCTCATAGGCTGGAATGTGATCCTTGAGTACCTCATTGGTGGCGCCGCTGTGGCCCGTGCTTGGAGTGGCTACCTGGACTCCATGTTCAGCCATCGCATCCGCAACTTTACCGAGGCCCATGTGGGCGTCTGGCACATCCCCTTTCTAGCCCACAACCCAGACTTCCTGGCTGCTGGCATCATCCTTTTGGCCTCTGCCTTGGTCTCCTGTGGAGCTCGCATCTCCTCCTGGCTCAACCACGCCTTCTCTGCCATCAGCCTGGTCATCATCCTCTTCATCATCATCATGGGGTTCATCCTGGCCCACCCACACAACTGGAGCCCTGAGGAGGGTGGCTTTGCACCTTTTGGCTTCTCTGGCATCTTGGCCGGCACTGCCACCTGTTTCTTTGCCTTTGTGGGCTTTGATGTCATTGCTGCCTCCAGCGAGGAGGCCCGGAACCCGAAGCGAGCCGTGCCTATAGCCATTGCCATGTCGCTTGGCCTCGTGGCTAGCGCCTACATTCTCGTCTCCACCGTGCTCACCCTCATGGTGCCCTGGCACAGCCTGAATCCTGACTCAGCCCTTGCCGATGCCTTCTACCAGCGGGGCTACAGCTGGGCTGGCTTCATTGTGGCAGCTGGTTCTATTTGCGGTAAGGGACCCTTCTGGATAAAGTGGGAGGGAACCGGGCAGTGGGGCCCAGCCCTGAGCCTCCCGAGGAACACATCTCCATCCGGGCCTCAGTGTTCCGAGTTGGTTAACGGGCCCGGAAAGGTGCTAATTTTTAGACTCTTCACCCATGCTTGTTGGGATGTGCCAGACGCCCCTATTCATCACCCTTTCCCAGTTGTACTTCAGTTTTGGGCATGTACTTCCAGGTCCTTTCCTGGAAACCCTCTTCAGATTCTCTAATGGGCCTCTAACCTAAACTGGGGTGTCCTATTCCTGGGTTGTGGTAGGGTGATAATTTAGCACCCCACGTACACTCAGGCTCACTCTGAAAATGTGGACAAACTCATGCCAATGTTCCCAAGGGACTGCCTGAGCCCTGGCTCCCAGCAGAGGCCCCTGGGAAGCCTGTCTACCATGCTAACCAGTCCCCTATCCTCTGCCACAGCCATGAACACTGTTCTGCTCCTCAACATCTTCTCCGGGCCACGAATCCTCTATGCCATGGCCACCGATGGGCTCTTCTTTCAGGTGTTTGCCCACGTGCACCCCCGGACACAGGTTCCCATGGTGGGCATCCTGGTGTTTGGGGTCCTCATGGCTTTCATGGCACTGCTGCTGGACCTCGAGGCACTGGTCCAGTTCTTGTCCATTGGCACACTGCTGGCCTACACCTTTGTGGCCACCAGCATAATTGTGCTACGCTTCCAGAAGTCTCCTTCGTCTAGTTCCCCAAGCCTGGCCAGCCCTGGCCCTGTGGCCAAAGAGTACAACTCCTTCCAAGACCACACCCAGCTGGTGGGCCCTGAGCAGTCCTTGGCTCCTGAGCCCGGGCAGCTGCGGCCAGCCCTGAGGCCCTACTTGGGCTTCCTGGATAGGTGCAGCTCTGGATCCACTGTGGCTTGGGCACTTGGTGTCATGGTGGCCTCAGCCATCACCCTGGGCTGTGTGCTAGTCTTTGGGGTCTCGGCCCTGCACCTCCCGAACTGGGGCTACATCCTGCTGCTCCTGCTCAGCACTATTGTGTTTGTGCTCAGTCTCCTCGTCCTGGGAGCCCACCAGCAACAGCGCCAGCAGGACATCTTCCAGGTACATTCCCCACCCAACACCTACTCAATATCAGCCCAGCCAGTTCCCTTTGCCTTCGCCCCTTCCTCCTCTACAATGTCAGGATGAACCAGGGCTCACACGGTTGGGGAGGCCGGAATGCCCATCCCCCTCTGTCTGCATGGGGCGTGGGATAGAAAAAGGTTCTGTGGACTCTTGAGAAATCAGACCCTGGGCCTGCAGACCCTCCTGCAGCCCAGCCCAGCCCAGCTCTGCCCTTGCCCTCAGATCCCCTTGGTGCCCCTGACTCCAGCGCTGAGCATCCTTCTCAACATCTGCCTCATGCTGAAGCTGAACTACCTGACCTGGCTGCGCTTCTCCATCTGGCTGCTGATCGGTAAGTGTGGGCCACACTGGGGGCCCAGATGGGCTGTAAGAAGAGGGCAAGGAGGGCAAAGGGCTGAGACCTGCCCCTCAGGCTTGTGCAACCCCTGCAGGACTCATGGTGTATTTCGGCTATGGCATCTGGCACAGCAAGGAGAACGATCAGGAGCTGCAGCAGCCAGCTACTGCACGCTATGTGGTGTTCCCCAACGGCAGCCTGGAGGAGAGGGTGCAGGCTGTACAGCCCCCCAGCCAGGCACCGAAGCAGGCCACCAGTCCATGAGGACAGCCAGGGGTCTGCCCATCCTCCCCCGCCTCCTCAGGAGGCCGGAGGGGCTTGGAGCCCCCTTTGTCTGGGGCAGCTCATGTTTGTAGGCCTGCCTTTGCTGGGGTTCCTCAGGACCTTAGAGCTTAGTCCGAATTCTGAGCTTTGGGTCTTTGAGAGTGGGCGGTGGCCAGAGGTGATGTGGTGGACTCTGTTCAGAACCTTTCAGTTTATGACCAACTGCAGCTACCTGGGCAGGTGGGGTGGGGCAGGCAGAGAAGAGGCCCACAGCCCCAAAGATCCACAATAATAACAGTTCAGCCAGCCATGTAGCCTGTCACCATGTCCACAGTGTCATTCTTTGTGGCACTGAATCTTTGCCTGCCCCCAAGAACCAGGTGATTGTCCCAAACCCCCAGCAAAGACACCCCGGTTCTGCAAGGGACAGGTGCTAGCCCTGGGACAACTCTGAGTCAGGGACACAGCCAGGCCTGGGTCCCAGAGGCCTGGATCCCAGGGCCCTGCTCCCAGGCAGTGCCCTCTGCCCATTACAGAGGAGCTACATACACCACCTAAAAGCACCAGGCAAGGGGGAGTCCATAACAGGGATGGGGTCAGGTGCCCCCCACGCTTCCCATATGTCCAATCAAGGGTCAACCCAGAGAGCAGAGCCAGGGCCCCAAAGAGGATGCCTAGAAAGGGCAGCAGAATTCTAGAGTCACCTTGGATTCTCAGGGCTCCCAAAGAGCATGGCATGTGCCTGCGGCTGCCCAGGGAATATAGAGGCACACCTGCACAGGCACACGCACCTCTCGGGCACGTGCCCACATGGACCACAAGGCTGCCCTGGGTGAGCACACCTGAGTGCAGACTGATGCAACAGCTGTTTCTAAGCTCAGGTCCAGCTGTCAGACTTAGCACTCATTTTCTCTCTCTCTGTGCTCACGCTCTCAAGGTCTTTGTGGTAGAGTCTCAGATGGCACACCTGTGGTACACACACGTATGTATAGGTGCACAAGTGCCTGGGCCTGCTCTAAATGCCTTCCAGCCCACCTTGTGACTGTGAGGCTGCAGTCCTTCTCAGAGTCCACAGGCCCACTCTGTCCCTCCCCCACTGGTGTCCCCAAGACTGTGTTATACCCACTACAGATGTCTCCAATGACCCATTCTTTCCTGTAAAGACCACACAAGAGGCTGCTGGCTTTGGCAGGCTTTACTCCTCAAATTCCTGCAGCTATGTCATCAGCTTTCTCTGGGCCCCAAGGACAATCAGGTACATGTGACCTTGCTCCAATAACCAGGCCTCAGGGCCATGTTCCCTCACCCCGACCCTTCTGAGCTCTCCCCATACACACTGCTCTGGGGATTGAGAAGTGGCAGGCTGAGGCTCCACGTGCCAGATAATTCCAGATGCTAGCACAGCCTGAGCCCCATCCCATCCCACCTGAACTGGCCCAGGACACTCCATTAGCAAGCTGCCAGCATGCCCCGGTCACCAGGGACCCATGAGGAAGCTGCCCCTCGCTTCCCTGGAGTGAGCACTCCTAAAGGCCTGGCTCTGCCCTGGAACCAAGAGAGGGTTTGACTCCTGCAGCTCCTGTCCCTCCCCCTGCCTTGACCATGGATCTCCTGTGCCTGGGAAATTTTGGGAAAATTCTCCAGCAAGCAGGAGTCAGCCACAGCCAGTGGATGGGTCAGTACTGACAGCGGGCCACTGCTGCTCGGAGCACTGGGGACAGAACCTGGGAGAGAGTTCTCCAGACAGACAGCAGGCGTTCCACTGGACCGGTCCCCTGCTACGTGGTGCCCAGGCTCTCCTTTTGTCCATGGCTTCTGTTACATTGCAGATGTCCATACAAAATTAGCTTCTGTCACTCCCCAGGCAGCGCCCTGCCACGGCTAGAGTCAGGGGAAGGACAGTCCGCCTGGGAGTTGAAGGTAGAATTCTTCCTTGACCCCCACCCTGATTCTGCTTGGGCATCATTCATGAGGTCTCCAAGGCAGGGCCCCCACCTTTCCCAGCCCCCAACCCCTAACCATCATAGAATGATTACAGGTCTCAAGAATGAGCAGGTGAGTGGAGAACAGAA